CTACTTGTATCATAGGCAACTTGATGGACTGTAGGAGGAAGACTGTCTCGCATGGCAACTACCGTAACGCCAGAGTACATACTCCTTGAAATGCTTCCCGCCGAGTTGGCACTGCCGTTCTTTTCGCGGCTGTCCTACGTCATTTTTCACGTTCGTAAGAGTGTTCTCCAGTATACCGATGTTAAAACTCTCGTGGGATGCCGCACAGTACAAAATATATCTATGCAGAGCCTCTGACAACAACGCAACAAAAAAAAAGTCTCACACCACTTTTAAAATGAGGACGACGCTTTCAGTATGCAGAGCACTTCTCTTCTGTTGGAGACAAATCCAATAGAATTTCTGCTTGCAAATAAGAAGACACAAATGCAACGTAATTCTTGAAGAGACAGTTACTCCTAGCCGAAAACGACAAGAACAATTGCTTCAACCTCAACAAAGTGCAGAAGGGAAGGTACAAATTGGAAAGTAGCCGTGATTCGAAGTACATAACAACGAAAGCATTTCTGAGACACCCCCTGGTTTCCATTTGTCGAGCGTCACGTGACAACTTGCTCGTTGAGATCTCCTTCTGTTTTCCCTATCATTTCCATGAGACCTCATTCGGGAGTTCAACTTTTTTGTGAAGACATTGGGAAACAACTTTGTGTCGAGTCAACATTTTTTTTTTTTTGCTTTTTGGCTCTCTGACCTCAAGTTTAAACTGCAGACTTAACGACAGACTAGGACTACAGACTCTGTACTCCTAGGCTGTCGTTACTTTGCTTGCAGCTCCATTCCTCTTTGCAGACCATTAAACAATGAGCAAAGAGATAAAGATGGCAACTTTCGATTTCTTCAAAGAATCTCTGCCGAACAATTGAAGAATTTCAAACCAAGAGCTTGTTGCAGAGAAAGGAAGAAAATTCAAATATTCATGACTGCAGCATGTAAAATACGCAGAAACAACCTCTCATGCTATTCCTTCCTTGGTTCATTGTCAAGACGAGCATAGTCTAATCGCAAGATGTGCACTAGGGCTCGAACTATAGCAGGAATGTAGTGAAACAGAGCTCTATTGGAACTGCCAGGTCCCATGTATCTTCTTTGTCAGTCCATTCAAGAATGCACTTGTGGTCGAAAACGATAACCTCCGGGGGCAAAGCAACTTCGCAGCCATGCGACATTGCTTTTGTTTATCAGTTGAACAAGCTCTCCCTAAAAGTCTCCAATTACATTCCATCCCTGTTCTGTCTAAAAGATAAACTACATGCCATTCGGGGTGGTTCCCTCAAGTACAATGCAATGGTAGGGTGATAAGGGTAGCCAACAAAAAAATAAAAATAGGAGAAGCTTCTGCGTCGGCCTCGCTTCAAAACACAAAGTTAATCTTCGGAAAGGATTAATCAGTTAAGCTAGTCAAGCAAGAAACTTAATCGGTAACCTTTTCGAGTCACGAGTTTGCAGTCATGCCAACTCCATATACTTTACTAAACCGAACAGAACCCTAGTACTCTATCTCAACGTAAGTCAGTGCCGTGAAGCAGTGCCCTCTTCCAACGAGGTCAAGTCCAGGTAGTCGGCACCCCCACTTGTCAATTATGATTCTGTAACAAGCTTCTATTTGCACCCGACGGGAAACACTAACGAACGCATACAGAACGTTTCCGAATTCTCTCGCTGTTGGATCGATAAACCGGCCAAACCCGGCTTCATTGAAGTCCTCTATGGTCACCTCATCGAGAGCGGTTATTGCCGCTTGCACAAGATCCTTTGAATACCCGTGGTTCATTTCGACACTCTTGCGGTCACCAACACTCCAGTGTCCGGAAATGAAAATGTCGAAATCAAATTTCAGCAATTCTTCATGAACTCGAACGTACCCTCCCACATCTTCGGTGACAGCGAGATTAAACGGTGGCGCCCAATTCGGGAATACCACATCAACGTGCATCAGTATGGAGGGCTCGTCGCGAAAGCGTGGAATGTACAACGCAAGGTCCGAGGCGGTGTGACCGCCGACGATCTGCATCCTCACATCAAGCCCCTCCCCCAGTGAGAGTGTTCGACCTCTCCTTCCAACGATTACATTCGGAAAGATAGCTCGTTTGGTCACAGAGTTCTCAATAAGCACTCGGGCAGTGGATGTGCCCCAAATAAAGATGCTTGCAGAAGGATATCTCTCCTCCATATATGCCACGAATCTGGTCGTGCCTCCGATGTGATCGAAGTGTCCATGAGAGTAGACGATGTCGATCCTTTTCGGAATCGTTCCGTTTAGGACTTGTTCGGCTGCAGATGCAAACGAAGTCCTGTTTCCGTCAGGGCCATCCAAAGAAATTGATTCGGGGATATCAAGCAGTGCCAGTCGGCGATCCATCTTGAGAATCAATGACGTGTAGAAGCTATTATCATACAGAAAGACGCCTTTCCGCAGCTGGCTGAGTCTGAAATCTCCTGGTCGCAATGAACGGATGATGGACCTCTCCGGAGTTGGAAATAGTCTACACTGCCTCTGACCGAGACTTAGCCTTCTTGAACAAGCTCTTGCTGCCCGGGCAAGCTCTGCATCGACACATTGTGCGTGCGTATGAACTTGGGCATCGAAAAAGACAAGAATCAGGAGCAGAGCGGGAAGAACTGGACTGACCGCCATCTTCGGTGTTGAAATACTTAGTTTGTGTCTTTCTTGACCAACTGTGTGAGCTGGGGAAAAATCTGACAATCCGGAGGGCAAGGTCTTCTTATATACTACTACCAATCTATAGGGCACCTTCATATGTTTGGCTGTGGCCCAGATGATAATGCATCCAACATCGTCCGTCATTATTATCCGAACTGTCCGAAGATGCAGGGGCGTTACAGTCAATGCACAAAGGGAGAAGAAAGCGGATCAATCACACGTCCTATTTGCGTCATGGCAAACATGGAGATAGTCCATTGGCCTCAGGGAGCGATATAGATATGGCGTGTTCCATATGGAGATTTGTGCTTTTGAGAAGGCGAGGTGCTACGAGTGCAGTTGTCTTTAAGTGGAGAAAACATCAGAGCATTGCGTACATTTTCGCACTGATGAAGAATGTATTTTCCGAAGCAGGCCGTTGTTGACGGGGTTTGGTGAATCTGAATGTTTCGACGGCTTCGTCTCGACGCCCGCCTATGAGTTTGTGACGTGGACATATGCGGCCGTGACACGTTTCGTAAGGATGTCACCAAATACGCAAATATACTTGTGCTGCATATGTTTTCTGGGCAGCACAAGGTCTAGGTCAGTCATGAAGTTTGAGGAGTCCGCTCTAATGAAGATCGTACTGCAGACACACTTGCGAGAAAAGCTGCCCTGCCGTCAGGCATCACTGGCGAGAGAATCACTGGCGAGAGAAGGTCAGTTCTGGAAGGGAGAATTGCGTTTTGATAGGCATTATGCCAACACAGGGATGGAGGATTTCATCGCTCATCGCAATCCTCTATTCCCTCCATCTAATGAAGCTAGAAACGTTTTTGTACAGCACTGCAGTACTGTATGACCTGAAGCGCGGTCATCGCAATCCTCTACAGTAAAGTTTACTTTACGTTTCTTTCTCTTTATGACAGGCTCGATATGAGGCTACTTTACGTAATCTCCAGATCCCCGTCCTGGAAAGCCGACATGTGGCCCATCATGGAGTAGGATGATTGGTTGATAGGGGGGATGAGTTATGCAGTGCGGTACTGTACTGTTGCGCGTCGGATATCAGGTTTCCACGCCACACGTGGCAGGTGCGTGGTAAACTAGAGGTTATCACGCGGGTCTTGTGCGCTCTCGGTCGGTGAGGTATGCGGCTTGGACTAGCCGCAACAGTACAGTAAACTGTATTGTACGTACTGAAAGAATGATGATGACTTATCATCATCATGATCTTTCTCGTTGACTTTTGCTTTTGGTCTTGTGCATCGACATATGGCCGCAATATGTCCGATATGTGGCGAGTGGCGAGTGGCTTGATTACACCCTGGCATGATGCTTGCAACTTCTTTCTTCCACACAGGCAGCGCAGTACACGCACTGAAAAAAACAGGATTTGACACCATTTTCGTATATTTTTTCGACTATAGAGGTTTTCAGTTTTCATTACCTATTAGAGGTACCCTTGTACCCTTGGGTACCGGGACAAGGTTAAAAATGCGGATCCAATCACTGAAATCTGATTTAGGATGTGAGAAATATTGGTGAAGAGTAATCCGTAATTGATCCAATCACTGAAATCTGATTTAGGATGTGAGAAATATTGGTGAAGAGTAATCCGTAATTGTAAGTCTCGAAAGCTACAGTATTGTACAGAAAATTCTTTGTTTTTCATAAAACAAAGAATTTTCTGTACACCAGCTGTGAACAGCTGTGAACAGTTGGCAAGTGTCATCTTGTTTAAAAAATATGGGAAATATCACGATTCGTTGGCGAACTCGTGCCATTTGGCTTTATCAGTAGGCTAATTTCGGAAAAAGGGGGATTGGGACGATGCGGTCAAGATCAGTAGGGTAAACGTAAATCTGTAACAGATATGGTCGGGTTTTTGAGGAAAACGCCTACCGATTCTGTCATTTTCGTATTTCGCCAACGGAAAAGTGACTTTGCAACGCATTCTCCTACTAAATCTGTCAAATCTCCCAAAAGGAAAAGCAAAAGCAAATTGGACGGCAGCCAAGCTGGAGGCCCATTGCCAGACACTTTCCTGCGAATGAGACGCGGCGGGGGAAAGGGCGGCCGAATCATGAATCGCGATGTATGAGCTTCGCGTTGGTGTTGGATCCGAGATGGCCATCAATTGGTGCCAATGCTGCCAGCAGCAATGCCCTGTACTGTGCGGGATATATCAGGCCAAGGCCTGCTACAACTTGTACCTCTCCTTCCCGCATGCCCCGCTCCATGGCCTTGCGGTCGACGGGAGTAGTGTAAGGCGGGCCCTGAAAAAACATCCGAAAAACAGTCTGTTCACCACTGATCCGCCCAGATCGCACTTGCGTCTCAGCTCCGTTAACAAGAAACCCCAACTGGCAACGCCCGTTGCTTTTGCTCATGCGCGCCCGTCTCAGCCGCCAAATCCTCCCCCCGCTCAAGGCACCGATGCACAAAACCCTCCTGACACCGCCTCTGTTATGATTGCCCCCTCAGCCTCCCCGCGGCATCCATTCGCCACCGTCCCGCCGCTTACCCTCTCTCCCATGCACGCCCAATCCCCACTCCACCCGTGACCCCTCCCTCTTCTCTCGCCTTACCCTTCCCCTGCCTCGTCACGTGCCAGCGGCCGACCCTCGCCCCCGCCGCGGCGGCGAACATCCCCTCCCCCCTTCCCGCCGCCATGCCGCCGCCGTTCCCCGCGCGCCGCGTCGTCACGACCGTCGCGACGCACGCCGACCCCAAGTCCTTGCGCCCGCCGGCCTCGCACCCGCGCAAGTTCGCCGCGGGCTCGCGCCTGCGCTCACCGTCCCCGTTGGTCGTGCTGTGCGCCGCCTTCGCCCTGCTTGCGCTGCATGCCGTCGTGGCCAACCTGTCGCCGCCGTGCGCCGCGCCGCCGTCCGCCGACCTCACCGCGGAGCTGGAGCGCTGGCGCCAGCCGCAGGTCGCTGCCGCCGCGCTGCGCGTCTTCGTCTACGACTTGCCGCCGAGGTTCAACGTCGCCCTCGTCGAGAAGAGCATCGCCCAGCCGGGGCCGATCCGCGACCCGCGCTGCGACACCAACTTCTACTCCGCCGAGGTCCACGTGCATCGCTGGCTGCTGGCCTCGCCCATTCGCACCGCGGACCCGGAGGAGGCCGACTTCTTCTACGTCCCGGTTTACACCACGTGCGATCTCATCACACATCAGCCGAACGACGTTCCGCGTGTTGGGCGCCACTTTGCGGAGGCTATGGACGTCGTCATCCGCGACTACCCCTATTGGAATAGGTCCAGCGGCAGGGACCACGTGTATATGTTCTCGCAGGGCTTTTCTGCTAGGCTTGCGGGAGATTGGCAGCGATATGCGAACGGCATTTTTATGGTGCACAATGGTGAGTTCAGTGCGCCGGAATATACCCCGCATAAGGACTTCACCATCCCCCCGGAGCTTAAAGCATATTTTACGCCGTATTGGATAGAGGACCCAGAAGTGGTTGTTAGTAGACCTCGGCAGTTTCTTGCTCAATTTGGAGGGCAGGTAAGTGAGAGACCGCACTTGTCCATCGTTGAGTCAACGCGATTGACATGATAGCAGTGTTCGTGTGCATCACGTCACATGCAAAATTGGCTGTATTCTAACCTTCTCCTTCTCTGCCCGCCCCCTTTCTGTTGTCTTGCTCTCGACGAATTCGTGCTTACTTTCTTACAGGTTCTTAACGTCAACATAAGCGATCATCGGGGAAGCAATTATTCTGGTGGTGTCAGACAGTACATTCAGGCACATTTTAGCGAGCGAAAGGAATACCAAATTACTGGTGTGAGAACAGACTCGTACATTGACGATATGAAGAACAGCAAGTTTTGCTTGTCTCCTGAAGGTATGTTGACTCCATCATTTGCAGCCTCCTTTGCGACTTTTTCTCGCTCGTCACTAACAGTAGACAATTATTGATTTTTTTGATTCTTGTCGTTGACGTCAACCACCCAGGATGGCATCCATGGAGCCCAAGGCCGTACTATGCTGTGATGATGGGATGCATTCCTGTCGTCATCTCTGAAGTTCAGGAGCTTGCTTTCGAGGAGCTGGTGGATTGGGACAGTTTTGTTGTTTGGATTCGCCCTGCGGACATATCGCATCTTGATGACATTCTTCACTCATTTTCGGAGACAGAACTGAAAAGACGACAGTTGGCAATGAAAGCGACGTGGCGCGCCTTATGGTATGCGGATGAAGGACTGGCCTATCAATCTATATCGAAAGCATTGTACAGTCGAAAATACGACAGCGCCCCAGTCAGAGAATTCAGCAGAAGGAAATAGAGGGATGAGTATATGAAGGCAGTAGCACTGCTTCCCTGCTCGCGAAAGTAGATACGCGGGATTATCTGTACTGTACATTCAAGAAAAAAAGGGGTTTAATAACAGTTACTTGCTGCTAAAGCGTATAAAACGCTTTTTACAATCTAACAAAAACTGGTCACATCTGTGCCATCATCTATGCCATCATCTATGCCACCATCCTCGGGCCCCCGGGGGACCGCGGGACATATTGGGGTGGCTGATATGGTTTTTCATTTGACGGACTAGGTACGCCAAACTGCTGGCTCAAACCAGATTCCACGGACGCCTGTCTACTCGTAGAGGTTAATGGCGCCCCTATTCCGGCCGGAGATTGGTGCGTGGTTTCTGCAGTGGGTGTCGCAGCGGGACCACTTGGGGTAAAGATCTTCATGCTACGAGGGCCAGCCGCCCCCAAGCTCCCAATAACAGGGGCGCGCAGTCGTCCAGGAAGGGGTGCTCTCATGGAATGTGCAGATGACGCTCCTTTGTTGAAAGTATCAACGTACGCTCGACGACCGGCTCTCCTTCCGGTATTGGCCCGAAAACGGTTAGGGTTGCCTGACGGGTCTGCTACTGACGTTTCTTCTCGATTCGCACTAAATGGCACAGGCAGACTGGCTGAAGAGATGCCAGAGGCCTCACTGCCATTCTCTGCGAAAGCGATATTCTCGGAACTGACCGCACGTGGCGGCGGAAACCTCTGGGACGGCGCAATATCTTGCCTAATTGAGTTCCTCAGTCCTGGTCCTGGCGTCGCCGATTGCCCAGCATTGTATCCGGGATTCATAGGTGCCGACGGTTCCATACTCGCTCGAGCCTGTCCGTACAAAAGTTGAAATGAGTCTGGTTCTCGCATGCTGTGAGCTCTCGGCATTGGCGAAGACGGTTGACCATACTGGTGCAAGTTTTCGTAGCTTGGAGCTGGTAAGGCCTCGGTAGTCTGCGTTTCCGTCATCGCATCTTCATCTGTTGGTGGTGGAGGCGGGGCGTCATCGCCCTCGTCCGGGTCCTCACCTTCTATGACCCATCTTCCTCGTTCCTTATCGAAAACAAACTTGTTGTCGTTTCCCATGTGGGCCCGCGGGGGACCTCGGAACGCTGATAGAATCCTTTCCGTAAGTCTGTACCTCAAGCCCTTCGCAACGGATGGCTTCGTCTCACCGACAGAGTCGAGCGCAGATGTTGAGGCTGAAGCTCCTGTCGAACGACGGGGTGGTCGCGGCGGTTTCTTCTCTGATGTCTGTGAAACGGCGGTCATATCAGAAGCCGATCGGCGATGCGAGAGGTTTTCCGCCCCTGCAGCTGTCTTTTGTTCCTGAACAGCAGTTCCATTGAAATTGTGCGAAAATGGCTGAGGCGTACTGGATAGCGAAAAGTCCTCTGCCGGCATTCCCCGCGAGTGGGCCCCAGTTTGCTGTCGGCCAGTTGTCACGAAAGCGGCTTGCGACATTTGAGGCATCGCCGCCGGCACGTTTCCCATTGACTGCGAACGCATGTGCGACGCGTCAAGTTCATGACCAGGCGCACGGGATCCAGTGTCAAGCCCCAACCCCATTGGCGGAACCCCATGAAGCTCAGATGGAATCGGCTGCCCCGTCCGTGGTGGAGGCGAGAGGTCGCCGTGTGCAGGAGCAAGAACTCCAATTGTCTTGGACACAAACTCATTCCAACGTTTGGACCCTGACTCTTCCTGCCCGGGACCGCTTCGGCTCGAGTCGTATCCGCTGGAATGCGGCACAGATAAAGCAGGTACTTGCAAATTCCCAGGGATCTGTTGTTCTGGAGACGGTCCTTGAGAGACGCCTTTGCCTCCATATGGCGGATGATGTGAGGTAGCAATCATCGCCGAGCCATTCACGTCATGCGCGAAGGGAGCCTGGTTTGAATACGTGGGCGGGGCTCGGCTCGAATACATATTTGCATGTGAGAATTGATGAGGAGGAACGTCCGGGCTTGGATTATTAGTTGATCCTCCACTTGCGCTTTCAACTGGTGTTCGTGACGGGGTTGGTTTGGGGGTTGCTGAAGTACGGTTGAATACCGCTGCAGAAAGGGAGCGACCCATAGCAGTGAGCTTTCCAACTCTTTCTGTACCGTGACTCAATCCAAGGTGAGCTCGAAGCCGTTGGTCAAGGGACTCTAAGCCAGCCAGAAACGGCAGCGTCAAGAATTCTGAGGCGACGTCGTTTCTTCCAGAGTCGAACATAGTTCTCACTCCGGCCGCCACCGATTCGCAATGGCTCAATGCGATATCAGAGCGTCCAACGGCTGCAATTTCCTCTGCAAGTACAAGTCTAAATGGCAGTAAATGCGGAAATGACTTCCCTGACTGGGCACAAACAATTGCTTCGTAAACTAGTGACTGTAAAATGGCGGCTGCGGACCCTAGAGAACGGGGACAGCCTACAGGACGCTTCGAATCTGCACCCAGAAGCACTGTGGAAGATGAGTCCAGGATAGAAATGCGCCCCGATAGTAGATAGCAGACATGCCCTCCAACGATGTCGCCAAGCTGAGATATAAGTGCCTCTCCAACCTGATCAATTAGGCGCAAAAACCGCTCACCCCGCTGGGGATCTGCTTCCATTGCGGAACGGTAGTTAGTTAGTAGCATTGTTACAGTCTTCCTCCACTCTCTTAGTCCAGCTGTGGAGGTGGCTTTCTGCAGGATTTCTGCATCATTCTCGGCCATTGAAAAGAACAGTGTCTGGAGCGCAGAGCCATCATTCAAGCTCTTCTTTGCGAAATCGGTAATTAAGCTCTTGTAAAGGGTCTGGTCAAACGTGGACGCAAGGACCAGAGCCAGTGACCATAGACCAGCAGCTTGTGCCACGTGGATTGCCTCTAATCCCTGCCCTTGCGTAACCAGTCTTTCCACTTCCGCCGCTGATTCAGAGAGTTCAAGCTCAGACTTGCGCGACGATATACTGCTCGGCTTCAGTGGGGACTCGCCAGCAAAGCGCCCACATAGGAATGAAGAGCTATCATTTCGACCCATCATAGGTACTGCGGAGGGACCAGAGATGGCCGAGCCTGCCTTATTTCTCCAATCTGATGTGTTATGACGACACATCACAGACAGCAGCCTCCATAATGCCGCCCGACTCTCTGCATGGGAGCCTTTCATTCCGGCAGCGCAATTCGAGAGACGATCGCACATGTCCGCATAAAGCAAGAGGTCCGACGGTTTTGGCGGGAATGCTAGTGGTGCTATGGCTTCGGATGCTGCAATCCAGTCATCATTTGAACCATCTCCACTTATTGTACCCAGGTCATACAAACGGACTTTTGAGCAAGCAGTAGTAGATTCAGTCCTGGCCTCGTAGCCGTCTTGTTGACCTTGGCCAGCGGGTGGGTGAATAGTCATCATCGAGCCCCCAAAACCCCATGACAAGACAGGCCGCGGAGGTCGGTAATCCAAGTCTGCTGGAGCAGTCGCATCCATAATTGAAAAGGGATATGTGTACATGTTTGGATCTATTATCGTTTCGGATCCTACCTGGCTTCCAGCAGGTGCATACACATCTCGATCGCTCAACCCGGCACTCGCAATTGGCATCCCATACTCTTTTCCGGTGAGAGCCACGGCGGCATGTTGCAATGAGAGGGGGTCTTCTCGTTTTCTCTCGGCTGATTGGAGACTTTCCCCTGGTTGCAGCTTACTACTGTTTAAATCGCCTCCATGACCAGGTAGCTGAGTGCTTGTTTCAGTCGACGGCGAATACATTGCAGGCGTAGTAACTGTACTTCCGCCAGTACCACCACCATGCGTGTTACTTGTTGTGTAGTGGGCCCAGTCAGGCACGGGGGGCCCCGGTAAACTTTCGGATATGTTGTGCTGGTAACGGCTAGGTCCTTGTGGCACAAGAGGGGGAGGAGGGAAGGAATGCGTTCTCGTATGTGCGGTGTTTGAGGTATTAACTGCCGCCGGGAACTCGTGAGGCGGTGCCAGACCCTGGAACAAGTCTTGCGTTGTCAGCCAGGCATTGCCATCATTTGTGTCATTCTTTGGTAACTGGTTCAAAGGCGCAGCGTCGCCGCCGAGCAGGGCATGCCGATTCTTATCTTGTTCACTTGGGAGTGCTGGAATTTCTGCAGAAGTACCTTGCGCACTCTGGCTTGGTGTATAATTCTGTGGATCCTGAACCATATTGTTTGACCACATGTCAGGGCCCACTTCATCTACTGGAGAACTTTCCATTACCTCTGTAGGCAATTCAGATGGATATATCTTTGGAGCATACTTCGTATCAGCAAGAGCAGGTGCTGGAGGTAACGACAATGACGGCCTTGGTGCGTATGCATCAAAGTTGGAATCACATGTATGGACAAGCTCTGAGGGATGTGAAGTAATGTTCGTTGACCTGGGAGAGGTTTGTCCTGCCACAACCTCTTGTGGGGTGGACACATTCGTTTGATTTGAAGCATGTATGTTGGCAATTGCACTTTCCACATTCTCGGCAGTTGGCATTACTGCAGGGATATTGGTATGAAGAGTTGCTGCAAGACCCTCATGATGTCGATCATGCGCAATATTCTCAGGAATGCTAGTCTGTTGAGTGGTCCCCGGATGCCTAGTCTCAAGAGCCGAATGACCAGTTCCGGATACTTCGCTTGGCATTTTGAGATCTGGCTCTTCGGGTGATGCCTTCTGCCCTAGGTCGAAAGCAGCTGTGGATGCGTAGTTGTCCTGGGCCATACCCCAGTCCCAGCCAAACTGTGAGTACTCATGAGCAGACGCGGATGTCGTTGGAACAAACGGATCGTACGCGGCGGACTCTTCCGGGGCCTCTACTCCGCTGATAGCCGGTTTCTCAGTCGGATCGATAACAGCATTGTCATTACTAGGCTGAGAAGTATGCAGCAGAACTGGAGCTAACTCGTCGCGGTCCGTCCTCTGTCCTTCAGAGCGCCTGGCGTGCAAATCTTCTCGAACAGATTCGCCCAAGAGTTCCGGCCATGGCTCTCCGAGCTTCTCAGGCTCAACCGTTTGGTTATTCCATCCGGTCAGATTTGCATCACCTGACGCTGGTTGATCCCCCCATGCACTTTCAATATTCTGAGCCTTGGGGGCCTCACCTATTTGTTGCAACAGATCACTTTGATGAGGATTCTCAGCCATCCTCCTGGACCTTTCTGCAACCCCCGTACTCATTGGCAGTCTCGTTAGGTTTTGCTGTGGTTCTGTCCAACCACTTGCATTAACATCTCCGTTCCACCGTGAGCCCTTAACCACAATAGAAGCCTGATCTCTAACAGGACCATTGGTCTCCGGGTGCATACTGCTGTTGTACGGTCCTGTACTTGGTGGGTAAGAATTATTCTGCAGTTCCTTAGCAACTGCTTCCTCACCGGCAGCATTAGTTTCAAAAACGCGGACACCCTCAGCAGCAATTCGCGACATCTTGCTTTCAGGCATTTCATGTGAACGAGCAACAATATGCGAAACATCCAGTTGGCTGTTGAATGCATGAGTAGGACCGCTTGGTTCCTCCGGCGTCGTCTCTACATCCGCCCACGCCTTTTTCGCATCTTGAGAGCTCGATTCAAGCTTTTTTGTCCAATAATTACTAGCCTTTCCTGTTGGGAATGGTGTTGCCTTCATCGAAACCGGTGCAGTTGTGGGTCCCTGCCCTGCTTCACCTATCTTCGACGTCTGTATTTCGCTAAGTGCATCTGCACCCCATGTGTGTAGGGAAACAGGACCTTGTTCCGTTGCATGTTGCTTTGGTGTTTGACCTGCAACACTGTGTTGGATCGGGTCCATGCCTATATAATCATTTGGCGGCTGAGACGATCCCGTAGCTGTAGCCGGTCCAGAGATGCATTTTGCACCCCCTGACCTGTCGCCATTCCGTTCCGCGGGTGCTTCCGGAAAAGGTGAAGTTGAAGGCACTATTTGGTCTACGGCTCTGGAGCTTGGAAACTCGTTGCGTTCGTCATCAAAAGCGTGATCCGGATGCACCATTGTATCTACTTTCTCACAGTGTTGTGCTTCAAGACGGAAATGGTCTGCTGCAGTAGTGCTTCGACCAATATCAAAGAGTGAGTCTTTCGCCGAGTAAATTCTCTCGTTGCTTTCAAGTGTGGAGTTATCATAGCCGCCATGTTTCTCATGAGAAGCACCGCCTGGCTCACTTCTTTGACCAACTCGAGCATCAACGTCACTCATATCAAGAGCTGGATATGGAGGTGGAGGAAGCGGAGAAGTGCGGAGGCGCACCTGTTCTTCAAGTTTAGTTGCTGCATCGGTTCCGGTTCCTGAAGACGAATCATGATCATCCTCTGCAGCTACTGTCTGTGCAGGCAAATCCCACGCCGGTATTTTCGCCGCACCCTCCCATTCGAAATCATCGACTGAGGATGGCGCAGCTACAGAAGGAACTTCAGTTCCGGCAACAGTTGACGAAGCGTCAACTTCTGTGGAGCGAATATCTTGGCTATCATCGTCTTCTTTGCCAAGGGCTATCTTGCCGTTATCTTGTATGTTGAATGTGTCTCTACGGGGAGGCACGAATTCTCTTTCTGAGTCCGCGTCGAAAAGCTGAGTTTCTCTTCCAGTGTCCTGGGTGCCTGCCTGAAATGGTCTCGGCAAGGTGCTAACATCCGCTTTGTCGTTTCTCTCCGGCGCGAAGGGTATGCCAGCAGGTTCCACAGGTGACAGTCCGAATACTTGTTCTATTTGCGAAGGAGTTGAGGAAGAAGTTGCGGCTTTTGGCTCTCCAGACTTGGATTCCAGGGGCCACGCATCCAGAACCGGTGACGCTTGCGCAGCAGTGTTGTCAGGCAAAATTGAGACACGTGCAGAGCCGCCCGCTTGCTTTCCATTGGAGATGAAGGCTGGTCCCTTAAGATGGTCTATTTCTCCATCGACGGTGCCCAGTAGACCCTTGTCATCATCCCCGAGCTTTGCAGTCTTGTTATGAGATTGCGTAGAGGCGTCCATTTCATCCCACGCGCCCCATGCATCTGCAGGATACACTTTCTCGGATTCAGTAGCAAAGGTGCTCTCACCAAACGAGAGAAAAGTCTCGGGTTCTGGTGCAGCTTTCTCCCGACCGGCAAAATCACCAAGCTGGGGCGTTAGAGAAGCAAGGTCATTTCCAGGCTTGCCTTCTACGCCTGCCAGTTCCACTTGTTGCATATCCGGGCGAGCGTCGCCTGGACCGCGAGCGGCATCATTCTGCAGGCCTGCGGCTCTCTCCTTTTCAGCGGCAATAATTCCTTCCTTCTGATCCTCTAGACCCACAGCATTCTTCGTCGCCCCAAAGCCAGCCAATCTCTTATCACTTTCAAAACTTTCAACTGTTTCAGTCTTGACGCGTGCCTCCACCCCAAGCAAGGGTGTCTCAAAGGTTGGTTCCTCAGCGACATCAGTCGTGTCCTCATCCCATCCACCCCATGCAACCTCTTCTACAGGTGCTCTGTCTTGGCTCTTCCCAAGATGTGTCGTGGGTGCGAAAATAGCTGGAAAAGAATTCTGAACTGCACGTTGTGAGTCAACAATGGCCTCTGCCACGTTGAATGTCTTTGCTTCGGAATTGTAAGCATTCCGGTCATCGTCTACAGGCTTATCGCCGCCGGTTTTCGGAGAAGCGTCAACAGGGTCGGTCGGGACAGTTGGCGCGCTCATCTCGTTCGGCGTCTCTCCTAGTTTCGACTCCTCTTCTGCGCGGTTTGAGGTTGGTGCGAGATCCCAAGCGCCCCACGCATCGGCAGCGCTTTCTGTCGCTTCCGTCGTTACAGTAGTTGCAAACGTTTCCTCGTGCCAGGATAGTGCGCCATCGACCGTTGGCCTCTTGTCCATTGCGATTCTTTCTCCGCAACATGTGAGCTTACTTCAGTGTTGCCGGGAGTGCTGGCGGGTATGACTTCGGCATCTACACCGGACGGGAATGCGGGCAGATCCTCATGTATTGGTGCACTGCCTGCTTGCGGCCCCGTGACAGTAGCAGTCTCTGCAGTCTCAGCTTCCATCACGACAGCGGCTTCACTGTCATCTCGCGCATCCAACCCGTCTGCAGTGTCTTCAACTTGAGTCCACTCAAACGTGGATGCCTCCTCGGCAGGCTTTTCTGATTTCTCCGCAACATGTGAGCTTACTTCAGTGTTGCCGGGAGTGCTGGCGGGTATGACTTCGGCATCTACACCGGACGGGGATGCGGGCAGATCTTCCTGCATTGGTACGCTGCCTGCTTGCGGCCCCGTGACAATAGCAGTCCCTGCAGTCTCAGCTTCCATCACGATAGGGGTTGCACTGTCGTCTCGCGCGTCCCAACCGTCTACTGCCTCTTCAACTTGATTCCACTCAAACGTGGATGCGTCCTCCGTCAGGTTTTCCGACTTCTCTGGAACCTGTCGGCTTGCCTCGCCGTCAACGAGAGCACTGGCATGTGAGCGTTCGGCTCCCACATCGGGCGCAGGGCGTGGGGTCTCCGCTTCTGGCGTCATTGGCGCGGACAAGGCATTGTCACAGAGCCTTTCCTCCGGCGCGCAAGCGGCGTCGATCCCGGGCTTCGTAGCAGGCGACTCACCCTTGTCAAACAGTAGCGCATCTTCCCGTGCACCCACAGTAGATACCCCTGCTGCTCCCTCCTGCGCCTGTGGCGGCAACGCCCCCCATTCTAGAGCCGGCTCAGCGGGAGCAGGATCCTCCTGCTGCGGCTCGGACTCATCATTCCACGCGCCCCACGCCTCAATATCTGCGGCGCCTTCCTCAAACGCAAAGGGGTCTGGCGCGCTTCTCGCTGGCTCGGCGTCTTCGGCAAGGGCGGGCCCCGGCGCAGCATCGACCTGACCCCATCCGTCGCGACCCGGCTTGCTCGCGTCCCCCTCGTCAGCCGCGCCGACACGATCTCGGTCATGAGCCACGTCAGCAGTGGCCACCGCTACCTCGTCGCTTGCGACGCAATCCGCAGCTTGTTGCACATCGGCAGCGCCCGCCTCCTCAATACCCTCCTCCGCCGTTGTCACGGCAAACATCGCGTCTCCTCTACCCAGCGACACGGCCTCATTAGGCTGGGTCCTATCATGCTCTATAAACGCCGTGTCGTCTCGCGGCGCAATCCCAGGCTGCTTCTCCTCCTCGTGCATTTCTCGTGGCACCTCCTCCGGGCGCGGCGGTGCCGCGTCCTCTCTGCCCTGCCGCGTGCGGCTTTCATCGGGCTCAGTAGTAGTCCCAGTCTTAGTTTCAGTCTTAGTTTCAGTCTTAGTTTCAGTCTTAGTTCCAGTCTTGGTCTCAGTTAGCATCTCGCACTTGTCCGGCGGTGTGTCGGCGGCATCTAGCCCCGGAACGGCCCACGCACCCCACGGGTCATCCTCTTCCTCTTCGTCGTCGTCGTCAAAAGAAGGGTCGTCGCCCCATCCGTCTGCGCCGTCCCATCCGCTGAGAAACGCCGGTACCTGTGTCTCTGGCGCGCGCGGCGGCTGCGACTGCGCAGCGGGCGGCTGCGGCTGCGCGGCGAGCGGCGGCGGCAGCGGCGAGTCGGGCGGTGGCGGCGATGCGGGGGGCGTGCTGCAACTCTTCGTGCGGGCGGGCGGGGTGGCGGCTGGGCTGGAGCGCTCGGTGGTGGAGGCGAGGCTGCGGCGCGGGCTGCCGGAGGCGAGGCTGCGGCGCGGGCTGCCGGAGGCGACGCTTCTGCGCGGGCGCACGAGGCTGAGCTGTCGCCACTCGTCGTCCGCGGGCGGCGGCGACGACGCGGCGGCGGCCGCGGCGCGCGACACGCCGGTGATGACGCGCGCGGCGCGGTGCGGCGAGCTGGGCGGGGCCATCAGGTCCGAGAAGCCGGCGTGCGGGCGGGGCTTGCGCGTGCGGCGGGCGCCCTTCATGGTGTGCGGGGCGACGAGTTGCCGATATCCACGGCCATGGTTAGCGTTGGTGTCGATGGAGGCTCGGCGGGGCGCGGATGCAAGCAGGTAAGGGGGGGGAGCGGCGGCCAATCGGAGCGGGACAGGTGGATGAGCAGTCAATTTGGAAGATGCATGGAGAGTGGACGGATGGCCGGGACGGGCGACGCGGAGCGATGATGGAATGCGCACGCTCTCTCCCGCTCGCGGCGGTGGTGTTTTGTCGCGGCGGCGACGGTGCGGCTGCTGAGATCGAGGCGGCGGGGACGGGCGGCGGCTGGTGCCGCGCGTTCCGTTGATAATTAGTTGGCTATACCCCCGCTCGTACCGAAAACCGCTCGCACCGAAAACATGTCGACGCAGAAAGTAAAGGCCGTGTGGTACACGTGTGGGCAACGGCCCCTGCGTTCAGCTGTAAGGACTCCTTTCTGCCTATGGCTGTAATTACCAATGGCCCCTGCGTTCAGCTGTAAGGACTCCTTTCTGCCTACGGCTGTAATTCTGTCCTGGTGTCATGGCATGACAGTCATGCAGTGGGTCGCGCCTTGTTGCCGTGGCAGCGAGATCGCAAGTGACCAAGGCACACGTGCCGTACACGTGGACAGAACTCCTCGTTCAAGACGATGATTCGGATAACTTAGAGCACCCCTATTGTCTACTCTACTTCTGTCCTCAATTGAGGACAACTTTCACCCCCCATGTAACTAAAAATGTATTGAGTTTCAGCCAATTCTGTGGCCATTTTCGAGCTCTGCGGGCCTCAAATCATTCTGGGACACGTGTTCATTGTTTAGTGAGGTACATTTATTTTCACAGCGACGTCGAACACCACCGTCGCTCTGCTTGTCGGAGGCGAAATCATTTCGACATGGCGCCGCCGCCCGACCCGCGTAAAAATGTCGGTGCACGCGTACACGCTCTGGCGTGGCACTTCACAGCTCACGCAGAGTGCGCGCGCCGGTACGGGGCCAACAAGAAGACGAAAAAAGTCCCAGGAGTGGTTGTGAGCATACAAAATGTGATGTCTGGGCAGCGCGCGAGTTGTTACCTCACATCGGACTACAACCTGGGAGGGGCAACCATGAAGCGGATAGAGCTGAATCTGCGCAGAGTCACTGCGGGAGACCTCTCCACTCCTGCACCACCCGTCGCTTCTCACATTGAACAGGGAGAAGGCCGTGCTGCGCCCTCGGATGTTGAAGAAAATTGCGCTGACCGACACCCTCGTGGCTCTGCTTACAGTGGGCAGACTGCATTGAATTTGGTTCCTGCTTCCTATGATCCTGCAGAAGTCGTTGCCCATGGCACGAAATGGGTTTGTAACGACTGTTAAGAGGATGTACAGGCCTCCGTTCCCTTCAAAGCATGGAGCATAGTGTCTGCGAGTGGAGAGTGCTTGGGACCGGGCAGTGATATTAGCGGCCACTCACCCTTGGACTACTTTCTAATGATGTTTCCTCCCAGTCAGCTCCGTGCAATGGTGGAGATGACTAATGCGAGGCTTCTATCCTCTAGATTGTTGGTGACAAGTTCAGGCGAGCTTGTGAAGTTCTTTGGTATCCTAATCCTATCGACAAGAGTCGAGTTCGGTAGCCGGGCATCACTGTGGTCGGGCATCAAGCCGGGAAAGTATATCCAGGCTCCCTCCTTTGGCTCAACAGGCATGGCAAGGAAGAAATTCGATAGCCTGTGGCGCTACGTGCGATTCAGCGCTCAGCCTACCAAGCGGCCGCCGTCAATGTCGAGCGAGAACTACCGTTCGCTTCTCGTAGATGATTTCGTTCAGCGTTTCAATGCCAATCGAGTAACGAACATTAACCCATCTGACCTAGTTTGCGTGGACGAATCGATGTCGAGGTGGTATGGGAAGGGCGGGTTCTGGATTAATGCTGGATTACCGCAGTACATTTCTATCGACCGAAAGCCTGAGAACGGCTGCGAGATACAGAACAGTGCTTGTGGCAGGAGCCACATAATGATGCGCTTGAAGCTCGTGAAAACGGCTGAGGCGGAGGATGCGATGCGCGTAGAGGACTCGGCTGGAGTTCCCCACGGAGCTCTTATACTAAAGCAGCTTGTGGAGCCGTGGAAGATGACAGGTCGTATAGTCTGCGCAGACTCTTACTTTGCATCCGTGTTTGCAGCACAGTATCTAATGGCTGCCGGTTTGCGCTTTATTGGTATTGTGAAAACTGGTGCAAGACGCTTTCCGATGACAGCCCTGTCGCAAGTGGAGCTACAACGAAGAGGCGATCGACATGGTCTGACTTGTACGGATGAGGACGGGCCGCCAAAGCTTCTTGCATTTGTATGGATGGACAGAAACCGACGTTATTTCGTCTCATCATGTTCTTCCTTGGTACCGGGGGCTCTCTACTCGCGAATGCGATGGTGGCAGCTCCAGCATGTGGAAAGCAACGAAGATCCTCAACTGTTAGAGCTTGAAGTACCACAACCGAAAGCTGCCGAGATCTACTATCGTGTGTGTGGAGCAATCGACCATCACAACAGGTGCCGACAAGATACTTTAAATTTGGAGAAGAAGCTTGGCACTATGGACTGGTCGATGAGAGTAAGCATGACCATCTTCGGTATGTGCGTTGTTGATACTTGGAAGGCTTTTAGTGGATGCCAGGGGAATCGCTGTACGCTTACACAAGACGAATTCTATGTGAGGCTTGCGGAAGATATCATCGACAATAAGCTCGATACCATCAACTTTCGTAGGAGAGCGCCGGATGCAGAGCTCAGCCAAGCAATGGCTGGGGGAGTAGCGCAGAGTGGCGTCGGCGTGCACCTAACGCCAACAAAGCGTCGACGCAAGTCAAAAACCGGAGAAGTGTGGACGTACTTGTTGCAGGGACGGTGTCGTATTTGTGACAGCAAAACAACACAGGTGTGCTCCGAATGTCGGAAGACGAGCCCAAATGAGTCGGAGGTCTGGCTTTGTGGGACTAGAAA